TTTCAGTTGAGAAAAAGAAGTGAGTGGTGCTGTCCCGGTTTTGTTTCAACAACACCGAGAGAATGATGGCAGGCAAAATCTAGTTGAGTGACTAAGACTGATTCAGTGAGAGTAACACAAGTTTGTTGGAGACGGTGGAACTACCCAGCCGAATCCGAGATATATACAAACGGTATGCCAATTCTTTAAAATTTTTTAAAATGCGTTCTGGTACCAAAATTAAAAGTGTATAGTTATTCGCAGGAAACATCTATCAACTTAATATCATCATTCTGCAGGCTGTGCACCCGTCTTGTCATATCCTCTTTTAAAGAAACCGCTAACGGTCTAGAGTGCTGAAAACCTACAAACTATTGTCATCTATTTCCCAGGACAGTGGGCCTAATACTCAGTATCACTTATGGAACCCAAATAGCGGCCAGAAGCTAAGGAGTCCCTGGCGAATTCGTGAAGCAGTGTGGATAATCCGTGTGCCGGGGTAGAAGGATTGGAAATGTGCGCGGTTCCTCTGCTCTCCCGGCCGCGCGTCCGGAACGTTCCTGGCTGTCAGGTGGGTGGCTGCGAGCCTCGGAGGCGAAGCCCTGCCTAGCAGCGCGGCGTGACCGCGGAGTGGAGAGGGACAACCCCCCAGAGTGCGGCGCGTCCCACGGCTAGTCGCCGCTCACCTTTGTTCGCCTGCCCTCACTACCAGGAGGAGAGAGCGGGCCAAGGAAGAGTGCGGGGGCAACCCCAAGGCTCCGCGGCCCCTCCCGGGCGCCCGGAGGAAATCCGTAGGCAAGCCAGACCCTCTCGGGCTCGTAGAACTGCAGCTGGACGGAGGGGTCGGCAACCCCTTTCCAAACACAAAGGTTGGGAGGCGTGAGCGCGAGCGCTGGGGTGCGGGTGCGTGCGCCAGAGAGCACGCGAGTGTGCGTGTACGCGCGAGGGTGTGCGTGTGTGTGTGCGCGCGTGTGAGTTTAGGGGGAGGGGAGGAGCGCTCCAGCCCTTCTTACCTCTCGAAGAGGAGCCGCACCATGAAGATGCAGAAGGCCAGCGGGAAGGCGAGATAGAGGTCCTCGGCCTGCGGGAAAGTGGCTTCCTCCGTGTTCTTCAGGTCCGCCCAGGTGACATTGTGCGGAAGCCAAAACCTCTCGTTCCAGAACCAGGCTAAGATCCCTGCCATCTTGCTTTGTCCGCTGCCGTCCTGGCTCCCGCGACCCGCCAAGCTCTCCGCCGCGCAGGGCGCCCAGAGATGCGCGCGCGGCTGGCCCGAGTCTGTGCCACCGGCGCCTCCTCCTCCTCCGCGACCGCTGCTCTCGAAGGCTCGCGGCGAGCCCCGGTCTCTCCTCCCTCTGGCCGCGCTGGAGAAAGGAGCCGCCTCGCCCGTCACATGGCAGCCCGGACCGCACGCCCTGATTGGCTCGTCCTCGCGTCAAGCAGAGTGGCACACGCGGCCAGCTCGCCCACACCCGGAGGGCAGGGCGCAGCCGCTGCGCCCTAGGCGCAGGGGCACCACTCTGGAGAGTCCTGCCTGGCCCTGGACTCAGTGTGTTCTTGCTCTGTGCTTAGGAAAGCGACATGGGGCCGGCCCCCTACATCCGCTGCAGCTCCCGGCTTGCCCGCACATGCTCAGAACGCCGGCTTCTGCCCTACTGGAGTTTCAAGGGTCTCCGTCCGCTTCCCGTCTGCCTGAAGACAGTAAAAAGGCAGGTGGGGGCCAGGGCTATCTTCAGAAGCACCCCTGCAATGACAGAAAACGGCAAAAGGAGAAGTAGGGGGCGGAAAGCGCAAAGAAGGAAGAAGTAGAGGAGAAAGAGTCATTCACTTCAGCGCTTGGAGAGACAGAGTGAAAATCAGAAACTGGGGGCAGGATGGTTTGGCAAAAGCCATCTGCCTCTAACCCACGCTCATATTTCCCCCATCTCTGACCTTCCAGCCTCCTTAGCCACCAAAGCCAGATCCCCCAGGGAACAAAGCCCTCTCATTTATGAAGTGGTAGGAGAAATTAGGCATTCAATTACTATTTGATGTTGATGTTGATGATGATGATAATCGATGATGATGATGATGATGATGATGATGATGATGATGGTGATGATGATGATAGCAACTGCAGCATTCTGTAAAACTTCCCCTATAAACGAACCTCTCAGGAAATGCCACCAGACTGCACTTTGGCTGCACAGATCAGTAGAAAACCTCCACTTTGCTATTTGACAGGCTCATTATTTCTGCTGTTTGAATCTGAAACCTTTAAGGCATTAGGCCTGGAAGGCCTAAGGCAGGCACCTTCACTCCCACAACGCATTTCCTCATTGTTACGGGAACCACGTGTTGATCAGTTCAGTGGCCCATGAAGGCCTGGTTCCCGGCGATATTTTATTTTTCTCACTCATTCATCTTGTGCCTAGTTCTGTCAGTAAGTTTGACTGGTCTTTCCAAGAGGCATATAAACAAGCCCTTACCACACA